CTTCGGAATGTGTTTCGAACAAAATCTCATCTAAAGAAAAAAACGTCGGCATGAGGTTGAGATGATTGTGGCAGCGGGGTGGAACTGTAGTATGGTTGGTAGGGTGATAGCGGCGAGGTGGGGATGTAGTTTGGTTGTGAGGGTTGGAATGGTTGGGATGTTTGTGCGGGGACTGCTTTGCCATTGACCGAAACCGACCAGTTGATTGAAATTGGCGTATAATTGAAACCCAATATTACTTGGTAGTGGGAATTACGGATGATTTTGTTGGTTTGAGTCTATTTCGGTAAATTTAAATAAGAGTAGAAAAACTACAAATGAATAAATATGTAACATTAAAGAAAGATAAGTAGAAATATTGGTGAGAAACTTGATGAAGGCTTGGGATCTAAAAAATAAAAATTAAAAATTAAAAAAAACCCAAAGTAGCATTTAGCTTGCTGGCCTGCTTGGCATAGCGGTCACACATTTTACGAGTCCCGATCGTTACTCTCCTCTCTTTGAATTCAAATATTCATCTGTCGATTGTTTTATATCGTGACCAAATTACTTGTGGCTTTAACGCATCTATTAATAGAATCAAATGGTTATCAAAAATTCAAAATATAAAAAATTAAATTAAATTAAGAACGGAGGGAGTATTAGCGACTTCTTTTATATTGAATTAAGGTTCTACATTAAAGTCATCATGGTTACTAAAACCATAAAATTTGAACCATTAGAAGTTATGCATAAGAAAATATGAGAGTTAAGTTTTCAAATATGGGGGGCATAAATGTCATGAAAATAATAATACTTAATAATTTTATGCATTTCCTATGCATGCATTTAGCACTATTAGAAACCGTGAGTTCCCTCCAAAAAAAAGAAGAAAGAAAGAAAGAAAGAAAACGTCAATTGAAGTGTTCCATTGCAAACTACAAAGGCATTAAAGTATCCCACACCAGCTTAGGAAGAGCGAGGAAGCCTTGAACCAGAGTATAAATAAAGGCCAAGGGGCTCGTAGCTCCATACTTACCTGGACGGGGTCAATGGGCGATCAATAAGGCCCATGGCCTAGGCTGATGACTTTCATTGCACTTTGGATGGGTGTCTGCCTAAGGTCTACTCAAGTGGTGGAGCCTACGTCATAATTTGTGGTAGTGGGGGCCTGCGTTCGCGCGGCCCCTGTCCAAATATATTAACTTTTCTCTTTTCAATTACTTAATTCTGATTTTTTGAATCAAGCAAAGCCTATTGATTTTCTTATCTGTCAGAAATACTTTAATTGAGAATAAAAATTGAGTAAGAAATCCTATCATTTGACGATTTGAGATTTTCTTATCTGTCAGTAACACTCACGGGGAACCGCATGAAAACGTTATATTTGATCAATAATCTACGTAGTTTACAAATTCAATTATTACTTGTTTTATTATGTTTTAATCTTATTTATTTTATATATTAACAAATAATAATAATAATATCTTACTACCTCCGTCCGGCTATATTTGTCCACTTTTGACTTTTGGAACTGTTCATCTAAGTACTTTGACTCATCAAATTCTCTTAATGTGTAAGCCTAAATATAGTCATGTGTGATCTTGTTTGATTTATCTTAACATATAGATTATTAATATATAATTTCTATAATTTTTTAATATACAAATTACAAGATAAAATGGATTAAAGAAGTGTATTGGATGGTGTGTAAAAATGAAAGTCGACAAATATTCTGGGACGGAGGGAGTAGATTATAAAAGTTCAATAATTTACTCTGATAAGTAAATGCTCGTTTGTTTGGACAGGATTATCATGAACAAAAATACTGCTGAACTAAATTGAACTATAAACTAAACATTAATGTGTTTTTAATGAATTTCTTATCAATACTTTTAAAAGCGTTAATTTCACTAATGATTTCGTAGTACTATCATTTTTATAAATACTTTATATTGTAACTATCTTAATAAATTATAACACCGTATAAAATAATCATTTTACTGAATTTATTTATTATCTTAAGATGACTATTAAAAACATAGACTCACATATACTATAGATAGCACTCGAGTACGAAAATGGTAGTGTGGTCTGTTCCAAAAGTAAGGTACAATCATATAGTACTCATTTGAAACTAAGTAGTAGTCATTCTTGCACAAAACATAAATATTGATTTTGAAGTAACCTAGTACTCATTCTGAAATATTGTAGTGTTCATTTTTTACACATTTGTTTAGTACAATTATAATACTTATTTACGAATAAAGTAATGTTCATTCTGAAAAAAGTAATAAACATTCTCAAATAACTTAGTATTCATTCTTAAACAACATAGCTTTAAATATGCAATTGTTTTCCTCTAAAATCTATCTAATCTTGCAAATTCTTTCTTCGACCCGATCAGATTAGACAATGTTAATCGCCCATCCGCCTTCTTTCTTCTAAGTAGGTCCGATCGCAAATTGTCTTCTTTCTTTAACCCAATCGGAATCAGACATCTCCGATCGGGATTAAGGTTTCCTAGTTCCGCGGTCCATCCTTCCCCGCCGCAGTGCCGCGGACGTTCTCTCTCTCCCTTGATGCCCAAATTAAACGCTGGTTGTACGAGAAGAACCGTACATCCCGCTATACAATATAAACTGTGAAAGCACTTACGTGTTTATTTTAATCAATTGTAAGAATAATATAAAACAGAGTAGCGTAATATATTTTTAGAAAAAATATCTAGGAAAATCCCAATTTTACATGTTCTTTAAAAAATAATCCTACATTTCACTGTGATCCATAATAATTGCAAATTTACTAAAATTTATGAGTTTTGGGTCACCGTTAAATTAGTAACAGTGGGCTAATGGAAATGACTTGTTTTGCACAACAAAGTTGAAGTTGAGATTATTTTAAATAAATTCTTTTTTTTTTTTGAAATATTCATTTAAATTTTTAAATCACTTTCTAGCTCCATTTTTTAAAAGATTAGTCTCACATTAGAAAATAAAAAAATAGATAGTAAAAATAATAAAAATGAGAAAAATAACTAAAACTATGCAAAAATAATGAAATAAATAAGTAATCAATAGAAATTAAATTGGAACTGGTAAGAAATAAAAATATAATTATGAGTAGTGGGTCCTAACATTTTACTCAATGTACTACTTATTTTCCCACAAAATGTACTATTTTTTTGAAAAAAATAGGTAAAGTAAAATTATTTGCAGATAAAACAGTGTTTCCTAAAAATAAGTGGTACAGAACATTAGTATTCTTGTATACAACGTAAAACCCGACCCGATTTAGGGATGGCAACGGTTCGGGTTTGAGTATATTGAAACCCGACCCGATTTAGGTCGGGTTTGGGTTTGATTTTGGCGGGTTGATTTCGGATAGTTATTTTTTCAGTTTCGGATTCGGTTCAAGATTCAGTCGGGTCAGTTACGGTCAAATTCGGATTTGAATACTAATAAAAGTATTCTTGAAAATTTTAAGATTGAAATTCATTATAAATTAAAATTTTTAAAGACGACTATAAATTTAAGCTATTAACAAAAATAATTATGACCCTTAAAAAAATAAATAGTAAGTTTCAAATAATAAAATACGAATTACAAAGAAAATAACATATGTATAACACACAAGATTAAAACACAATAAAAATGAAACACAAAAAATTCAATAAATTTTAAAACATTAAAAACATGTACATCAAAAATACATGGAATATAGGAATATAGGGTTTTAATAACTTATTAAATGTCGGGTACATGTCGGGTCGGGTCGGGTGCAGGTCGGGTTGGTCAAATATACCAATCCAAATCCGACCCGACAAAAGTCGGGTTTGGTTTAAATTTTCTCGGGTGAGTTTCGGATATTTGATTTTTCGGTTCGAATTCGGATATTACAAGCTCCGGTCGGGTCGGTAAAAGTCGGATTTGGGTGGAATTGCCATCCCTAGTTATTCACGTTAGTTTTATTGATTATCTTACTTATTTCATTAATTTTGTATGATTTTTAGTTATTTTTCTCATTTCCGTTATTTTTTATATCGATTTTTTTTACTTTTTTTCTAAATTAAGACTAATCTTTTAAAAAAAGAAATAGAGGTAGAAAGTCATTTTAAAAATTTAAATGAAAATTTAAAGAAAAAAAGAAAATTTATGAAAAATAATCTCAACTTTTATTTTGTTGCCCAGAATGAGTCATTTTCGTTAACCGACCATTAGCAACTTAACAGAGACTCAAAACTCACAAATTTCAGTTAAATTTAAATTATTATGCATCACAGTGAAGGGTGAGATTATTTTTCAAAGATCGGATTAAGTTAAGATTATTCTGGATAATTTTTCCTATCTTTTTTAAAGATCGGCTTGTTGTTTTTAAGGAGTGATATGTAAATTTTGATTTTTAATTGTACACCAATATAAAATAAATTAAAAATAAATTTAATCAAAAGGGTTATGCTTGATTGACCCCAACATTTAAAGCTCAAGGTTTAACACCAGTTTTACAAACGTTACAAACACATGACAATATCGAATGTTTGTAACGTCTTTAAGGTTGTGTGTTCCTATGTCTTATCACACCCATGTTCCGGTCTCCCCAAATGAAAATCCATTTTTTTGGAAAGAAATACGTGGCCATCATCATCATCTATCTATTCTAAATTACTTCTATTAACCATATATTTTACATTTTTCAACATTTCTCTTAAAATTGATGACCAATAATGAGAGTTTTTTTTTTTGGAATGATTGTGCTTTGAATTTCTAAGCATTAGTGAGTAGCGTAAGATTTTGTTTGCACAGAGTACACTCAAAGTAAGATGTGAAGATGGTTTTAGGCAATAAGAAAATTTGACTTTTTACTATCACATCTCTATGCTTTTCTTTCCCTTTTAGCTTTAACAGTCTATTATGCCCCTGTCTACACCTTGCTGCCAACTCAATCAAATTCAAGAACACCTTTATTATGGTCTTCCTGCTAAAGCTCTTTAGCTTGCGTTTATATTCTGCTGTTTACTGCCTCCAAGCAAAGAAGAGAGAATGAACTCTAATATGCTTTCATATATCCAAAGAAGGGGGTAAACAGGTAATTTCGAGTTACAGGCTACAATCTCACTGTGATGCGAAAGCATCCCAAACCCAAACAGATTTCACAAGAAACAGATGATGATCAGCAATTCCCAGAAGCAAAGCAAGAAGATCCAATTGAGAAAACCAAGATCCCACTGTGAGCTAAAGAGTCCACCTGAAAAGATGCAAATCCCAGGAAGCGATTTTGATCCTCCGAGACAGAGTTTCTGGGAGCGAGGAAGGGTTGACAAACATAAAGATCCATTCTTTTCCAAAGAATCCAATGTTCAAGTGTTGGAGAAATGGAAAGTGACAAAAGACTTTCAAGAAGTTGAGGTTATTCAGCAAGGGGTATGTACCCTTGGAGAAATGCTCGTTGAATCCGACCTCAAGACACATAAATCTCGCGTCACTTTCAGGCTTGATGGAGATGAGAAAGAATCTGAATGCCCTCTGGGGATAAGCAGCAGAGATGGATGGATGAAGAAGATGATGAAGAAGAAGAAAATCAAGCCATTGAAGAAGTCTAAAGCTTCACCGTACAGCTGGTGTTTGTGGCCGAGTGAGAGGGAAATTGATTTGGAGGAGACAAGTATGGATAGATTATCTGATTCTTGTCTTTCATATGGATCAAGCAGTGATCCAAGGTTGTCTTCATCTTCTGTTCAGAAGAAAACTGCATTTAGACAGGTTTGATTCATATGTCACTTTTTTTTTAACATTTGAGTTTTAATGGTTTATATCATCACTAGGTTCTTTTTTAAGACAACCCCAATGTCATAATATGATACCAGTCCATTTGAGATCCCTACGATACTATGCTCGACCCTAAGTGGTTGTTATCCCTAGCCTTACAAACCCCCTAGCCCAAACTCTGTCCCCGTGTCTGGGTGACAACGCAACCCCGTGTCTGGGTGACAATCCAAATTTGACAGTGGATTGTCACCACTAGAGAAAAAGGAGGCAGGGGGTTCGTGTGGGAGAGGGAGGGTTAGAACGTAGAACTACTTTGGATCTATTGGATCTAATGGAGCACCGTATGGGCCCTCAAATGAACCAGTGTCATATTATGACAATGGCCCTTGGTGTCAAAGGAACTCTATTATCCTTCTATACTATGAACAGGTCATGTTTTAAACTTAATTTCACTGCAGTTAAACAGGTTGTGTTCTTTTAAAGACAGCAGAATTGGCCGAGATTCGACAGAAAATTTGAAAGGAAATGATCAGACCAGTCCAACTTCAGTTCTTGAGCCTCCTTTTGAGGGAGATACAACTCCAAGCACTGAATATTTTGACAGCCCTATTGAAAATTCACACAGTAAGTGCGTTTTACGCTTTCCTGTAGATTTTATGTTCCACTTAGTAGTATCCAAACACATTGCCTAGACAAGGCAGTAGTATGATATGGTCTGCTAGGACTAAAGGTTGTTCGGAATTGTCTTTAGACGACCTTTAAAAAGGGTTGATACCATGAGCAATTCCAATGGTTGGGTAGTGTACATTGTAGCTTGGTATGTCAATGCATCCAAGTATTGTTAGCTTAGACTCAAAATTTCCTCTGCAAAGGGTCCCACATATCCCATGTGTAAATTAAAACAACAAACCAAGTAAAATCCCAAAACATCCCACATATAAATTAACTTTTAAATTTTTATACTCGGGGTAGTTTTTTTTGTTCAATGGATACATTTACCCCATTTGTGTGCTTCTCCAATGGTTAGTAAAGAATTCCAGTGAAGTTGTTCTAATGCAGCTTAAACTACTATGAGACTTGGGTTGAAATTAAGCACTAGCCTAGAGCATTGGTTTTGTACTTTATTGACCTGACCTAATGGATTGGTTGGCTCAAATGACCAGGTTCGGAACTTCAGCTTCAAGAGACCATTTCGTGGGATACGTACTCAGATGGACCAGAAATGGATGTCTCAAGCGATGATGATGAAGATGCCAAAGATGGATTTGCTGCAGGTTATGGTCAACATCATCTCGGAGAGTTCTTTGAAGAAGAAAGTGACAGCAAAAGTAGGGACTATTCGTACCTTGTAGACATTCTGGACGAGTCTCCGCTGATGTTCTTGGAACAACATGATACGCAAACAGCTTGGCATTCTTCGGAATGCCCTATTAGCCCATCAGTGTTTGAGAAATTGGAAAACAAATATGCGAGGCGTAACAAGTCTTGGTCGAAGTGGGAAAGGCGGCTTTTGTTTGACTGTATAAATGCCAGACTGCTTGACATGGAGGATATCTTTGGTTGTCGCCAACCAATATCTGTAAAGGCGGTATTTGATGATGGTCTTACATTGGGAAGAGACAAGGTTGAGGAAGAATTGTGGAGGCTGCTAATAGTTGATGAGGAAAATAAGGGAGTGAGTAGTAAGGACTTACCTTACAAAGCCCTGTTTGGAACAGAAACAAAGTGGATGAAATTGGAGGTTGAAATTAGTAGTGTGTGCAAGGAAATAGAGGATTACCTTTTTGAGGAATTAGCACAGGAGTTAGTTCTTAATCTTTGAGAGGGGAAAAAAATCCATTCTTGACCTTTTCTATCTTAATTTTGCATCTATAATATAGAGAAGGAAATTTGTGCAATTTTACAACACATATTTGGCACATGCTCTGTAGAGTTCCTATATTTTATTGTACTCCGACTATATCTGACTTCTAACATATGCACATTTATAAATTACATAATACTTATTTTGCACATTTATTTCTTTGCCCGCACACTATGCAAATGATGTATGCACACTTAATAATTGAATCATGCTCATTTCGTTATTAAAATAACTTATAATTTTGTTGCTGATAACATTTCTAATCCTTGAATGAAGTTTGAAGATGATATCTTGATAATAAAATTGCATAAAACACACTTTTATTTATATATATTTTGTGCATATGCTCAGAGCACAATATAAAATTATTATATACAGCATGCATTTAAAAGTTACATAATCCGCATTAGATGTAAGTATTTACATCCTAATGTACGATATAATTTGTCTGTTATGCATTGTTGCTTTGTTTTGATTTCGCAGGATGCTTCAATTTTTTTATGGATTAATGGCTTTGGCCCAACACAAAGCACAACCCATCAACACTTAATGCTTGTCCAGAGGGCAAAGCTAATGTGACCGGAATTTTTTTACACCATGTTTAGTGGAGTACATGTTTGATTTTATAACACTATATTAATTACTCCACTAATTTTTGTCCCACTACCTTCGACTCATTTTTCTACTTCGATTCGTCCCAAAATTTTTGCCCATGACCATAGTGAGTCGTGTTTTTTTGACTCGAATGCCCCTCATCCCAATTTAGTATGACGGAGAGAGTACTTTTTGTATGGAGATTTAACTATAACAAACATCACAAGTTTTAAGGGTTTTGAAATTTCATAAGACTATTCCTTTCAAGGATATGCTGTGATCTGATGTAAAATATAGACACTGCTCTTTATGCATGAATGCAGAAGCAACAACAACCCAGTAAAATCCCACAAAAGTAGGGTCAGGGGCCCTTTCATCCATGAATGCGCAATGTTTAATAGTACCTTACTTGTAACAAGTATCCAAAAACTTAGCAACAACCAATTCTGTAAGACTAAGCATATTTGAAAACCCAATAATAAAAAAGTTCATCAAGAGCAAGGGTTGCGCTTATCTATATAGCAAAAGATGGATTGTTCCCTTCAAAGAGCCGGTCAATCATCTTCCACCTCCATGTTCCCTAGATTCAAAAGTTAAGAACTCATAAGAAGTATCATTACTTGAGAAAGTCAAATTAAGATGTAGCCTTAAGAATCAAATTGCAATTGTGTGCTAGTTCTTTACCAGCACGTAAAGTTAAATGACATTGTTTTCCAAACCTGTCAGGCCCAAAGCAAATGCATATCCGAAACAGCATTCTGCTTCTCAAGCAAAGCAAGACTTTCCAAATGCTTGGTTACAAAAAAACAAGGTATCTCCCTTATGTTTCCCGGCTGCTGTGAAACTTCCCTGAGATTTGAAATTTTCCAACCCGTGATTTGTGGGCGTAAACACTTCAACATCCTTCCACACTTTGAAAGCATCTGCCAATGGTAAATACCTACTCTCATACATTTCAAACTCCATATTATATAGCTTAGCCCAGGAATCGGCATTTCCGTATTCTTGCATCACCCAAACGCAACAAAAATAAGGAAAATGCACATCCAAGAAACCTATTTTCTCCCCAACTACGGAAATCCACACTTGCCCAAAATCAACATCACTCGTAGGGAACGGCAAGTCTTGAAATCTCTCTTCATTTATGCTAAATGAAGTAATTACGCAGGTAGACCTACCAGGGTTATTATCTTTAAATGATATCCAATGCATCCTACCTTGTAGAAAAGCCTGACCGGTCATAAATGTCCTTTTGGGAGACAAGTCAAACTGCAAAATCCGCCATTCCCCTGAATTTAGAGAGTAGATCTCAACTGTCACGACATGATCGCCTCCACTGTCACGAAGGAAGGGACGAACCTCCCCAACAACTTCCTCGCCTGCGCTATTGAGATCCACCCAGAGAATCCTCACAACCTTATGATCTCCATCTTCAGAACCACCAAACCCAAGACGACCGCACATCTTAGGGAGAATCCGTGGCGGGGGAAGCAACAAATGCCTTCGAATCGAAGGGTTCCACAAGAATATAGTCCATGGGCGAGCATCATATAAACTGTTAACAGTTCCCCAGCGGCTAAAGCACAAGCAGACCAATCCATTGAAGCTTCCTATGATTTCGAAATCATCGTGTACTGAGGGATGGAAATTGTCAAGAAACCTGATTGGTAATCGATTGTCGGGATTGATTATTGAACCAAGGTCTACCGTGAGATTTTCGTCGCCGTCGGGGCGATCTGCGATCAGAGCGAAACGACTTCCATCATTGCTCAATCTGCAGAGCAACTGTTCGGTGCCGGCAATCGACCGGTATGAAGAAACGAACTCAGGGCTTCGGATGAAAGAGAACCACGTTTTACTAAGCGCAGTGAGACGAATCAGCGACTTCGGCGGTAATTTGGTGAGGATTGCGATCGTCAGATCTTCCGGCAGGGAAAACGGCATGGCCGCCATTTCATTCCGGGTGTGATCTCCCATGACCTCGGAAAATGGCTGGGTTGCCACCACCCTCAACTTTTGGAGTGCGAACGTAAATACTACGGAGGGAGTAATAAAGAACTGAGACCTCTCATTTTCCCCCTTCTTTTTAATTTTTTTTTTTGAAAATAAAAAGTCAGGGCATACTCCCTCCGTCCCGTGAAACATGGGACATTTGCTTTTTAGGAGGGATTTAAGGGAGTGTGTTTTGGTATTGAATTTCCAAAAATGTCCTTTGATGTGATAGGTAAAAGTATGATTTGATGGATAGATTATTAGTAAAAAGGTATGATGTGATAGTTAGGGTATGAAAAAGTAAGGGGTAAAAGTGACTTTTTAATAGAAATGAGAAGTGTTTTGTGGGACGGATAAAAAAAGAAAGAGAAAATGTTTCACGGGACGGAGGGAGTATCAAATTTCTCCCCAGCTTTGCACCAAGTATATTACATTGGTAGGATGACATTGGAGTAAGGTGACACTCGAGTACCGCTGGCCGCTGTCATTTTGGGATATTTCTGGTGCTCCGTTCGTAAAATTGATGGTTCCTACTCTCTAACCCACCCCCTAAACCCCTCACCCTACCCTCACCCCAATCCCATCGTAAGCCCCCACAAAATATGTGGCTATTATGCAACGCATAATAGCCGGGCTTATGGCGGGGTTGAGGTGGGGGTGCACAGGCGGGATTAGGGTGGGGGGTTTAAGGGGTGAGTTAGGGAGGTAGGAAGCGTCAATTTTACGAATGGAGCACCGAAAGTGCTCCAAAATGACAGTGGCACCGCTAGTGTCACTAGAACCCCACCGATATTACATACATACACAAATAAGGGTTGTCTGTAAATTTTGCAGACAATTATTGCATGTATATGTCACTGATACACTTGATCTGCTAAGTTGGATTGATGCACCCTTAACACATCTCTTTTTTTTTCTTCGATCACGTCATTTTTCTCCTTATGCATTTCTAATACCGGAATAGGTTTCGTGACTCTCATCCACCGGTCAATATTTTATTATTTTAGTCTCTCATTCAAAATTTTATAAATTTTATTATAACCTTTATGCTTTCTGAATATGCCACATCAATATTACACTATCTTTTTTTATGCATTTTGGAAATCAAAGTCTAGAGTAAACTCTACAAAGAGAAAAAACTAAGAACAAATCAACTAAGAAAAATATATATGAATAAGAATATTCTTGAGAGTATGATGTATTTTAATGCTTGTGGTTGCTTTTTATTGTGTGTTCCTTCCATGGCCTGGAGGGAAAACTATATACTGGTTATATATTCGTTGTGTAGTTGTTATATTATATAAAAGTCATATGTCATGTGGATCCTTGGCATAGAGATACACGAATGTGCAGTGCATGTGTATAGGTGCATGTATTATGCTGGTACATACACTGTACGTGATGGTGTAAATTACCACGCAAATACTAAGTATTGAGTAATCGGAAAGGTTGTAGGTGGAAACACCTGTAACCCGATTTGTTATTAATGATAATATGAGTTATTACAAATACAAGCCGTGTAGGTTAATTAAAGCCTGCCTCCACAAATGAGGCTTTTAGGGGTATTTATAATAATCTTAAGCACGTCAAGCACGTATCTGATTATCCAACCGGTCAGGCGGCTGACCGGCCCACCAGGTGCACTTTGAAAGTAGATCTTCGGGGATTGGTGTTTGGTCTCCCCATCCAACCGGTCAAATAACCCAGTCTGAGAAAGACGTGTGCTGTTCGGTGAACCAACCGGGTGGTATCCTTGGGTTATTACCCATCAAGGAGTCCTCCGATTCCCGGTTCTGTGGGGACCATCAGGGGCGGGAAGCACATGCGATCATTTCCCGGAATTTGAACTGCCCAGTCGCTTTTTGGCGGGAAAATTGTCTCGGAAAACCAGCGCCAACCCAAAATATTTGAAATTCGAAATTTCAATTTCAAATCCCAAAAACCGGGTGTCCAAAGCGGGAGAATCTTCTCGAAGTCGGGTACGGAGCCGCCGATTTATTGTGCCGTTTCGTCTCCCCGAGAAGTTATGATGGCAAAACATTTCAACTGCCACGTGTCATTCCTTCGTTTGTCCGCTTGGGCGGCCTCTCTCCTATATAAAGCGATGTCCTCCTTAGGATTTCTTCACTTGCAAATCTTCGATTTAAAAAACCGCCCGGCTGCTTCTACTACTTCCGAGTCCTCCGAGTCCTCTTATTCCAAGTAAGTCTTTCTTTCTTCTTCCTCGAGTCATGTCTGACCACGAAGACAGCCAGAACCCTTCCGCCCATTCTTACGGTTCTGGTGACCGGGCTCAGACCTCCGGTTCCTCCTCTTCTTCATCCTCTGATTCTGAGCGCCCGGCTACTTCTCCACAGAAGAAGCCGGTTGATGCTTCCACTTGTGCTCCTTCTTCTTTCGTGGCGCAAGTGATCTCGGTTGCCCAATCTGGGGATGAGGGCTTCGTTCTGCTGGATGACCGGTTGCTTCAAACGCAATCGTCGGTCATGCAGAAGGCCCAGGTCCACGAGGTGCGCAACCTGATGCCGGACGGGTACCAATTAACTTACCGGGAAACGTGGAAGAGCATTATTCCTCTCCATGCCGGTACGTCGATTGGTATTCATTACCACTCAATCAAGGACCTGGGCGAATTCTCCATTCACGCATTCAAAGTCCTTTTCCTTGAAACATACGGTATCATGCCCGGGCAGCTGGCCCCTAATGGTCATCGTTTGCTGGGCAGCTTCATCAATGTCTGCCGGTTCCTTTGTATTCCTCTTTCCCTACGTCTCTTTGACCACATGTTTGATGTCCGGCCCGGGTCCAAGGAGACCCTTGGATTCGTGGTGGTGTCTTCTCACCAAGGTCGGGCATTTCACTGTGGCCTTCCTCCCTCCAACAAGAGGTGGAAGGACAAATACGTCTGCATTAAATTCCCCCCGGCTGCCTTTAAGAGGGGAAAAGAATGAAGAGCCAGGTCAAACCAACAGAGGCCGATGACCTGGTTGCCTGGGAAACCACTCTTCGGGCCGGGGATGCCTCCACCCGCGGTCTTTACCATGTCGGGAAGTGGAGCGTCTACCGCGGCCGGGAGACTGACCCTGAGCCGGAGATTGCCCTTACTGGGGTGATCCCCGAAGCCATCCCCATCAGCCGAGCGAGGGGATCCAAAGCCCTGGCCACAGCCACCGCCGGTCCTTCACGCCCGGCGAAAAAGAAGAAGGAGAAAGGTCAATCAACTACCCTTATTTTCCTTCCATTTTTTCTTTTTTATATCGCTGTTCTTCTAACCGGTTTCGTTTCTTGCAGTGGTGAAGTTCCCGTCGAAATTTGCCACCCCAAAAATCGTCGCTGAGGAGCCTTCCACCGCCCAGCTTCTCAGCCAACCTCCGGTCCAACCAGTCTCCTTGGACGAGCAGCCGGCCCAGTCTCAATAGGGGACCAGCCAGCCCATCCACTCCGGGGAACTCTACATCAATGTAGATACCCTGGAGTTCGACCAGCTGATGGAGGCTGGTCAAGCAAACCAGCTGGCCGAGGGAGGCCACGAAGAAGAGGAGGCTGATGAAGAGTCCCTTAAAAGGAAGAGGCGGAAGACTGAAGTAGTCGACCAGCCGGCTCATCAAGCAGCCCAGTCCTCCGATGTCGGCAAAAGGCAAGGCCAGCCCCGGTCAATGGCTCTAATGTCTAGATCGGACGAAGAGCTCCTCCAAGCCTTCCGCGCCGACCTGACTGAGGTAATCCCCCTTTCTCCCTTCTTACCGCCCTCCTATTGCTTCTGATATCCTCCTGATTGGGGAGGTCGGTCGGTCTGATACTCTCCAATGTCTTTAAAGCAGGTGGGTCGGATTGGCGAGGAGTACTTCACCCGGCTGGTGAAGTCAAGGGACGAGGAAAAGGCCCGGATGGAGGCCATGATGGTCGAATGCCGGAAAGAGGCTAAGGCCGCTTTTGAGAAGGCGGCGAAGGCAGAAGAGAAGCTGATGGACCATTGTGCGGTCTACCGTCAGCTGTATGCGAAGCATGACGGTCTCCTCAAGGCCGCGAAGGAGGCCGATGAGCAAGCTCGGAAAGGGCTCCTCTTGCTGCTGCCTGGGCTGTCCAAGCGCCCGAGGAGTTTGCTGTCCAAGCACTTCCTGAACGGGGGACAGCCATCCGCTTCTTCCAAGGTTTATACAAGCACGAAGTCTCGGCCGGGATCATTGACGAGATCGGAACCTACGGTTTCGAAAGCGGTCAGTACGATGAACGGCGGGCTCGATCTATATGGTATCCTTGAGCAGCGGATTCAAGGTTTCTAGCCCAAGGCTCTTTCTCTGCCTGAGCTGCATGATGAGGCACCGGTTGCGCCTTTCCCGGGCATCTGATTTACATTCTCTTTTTTTGTTTACCTCCCGTGTGTAATGATCTGCCTCCGGGCACTTTTGTAAGACACTTAAATATTATTGCAAGTGTTTTCTCCTATATTCTCTTCAACTTAACCGTTTAGATTAGTAAATACAGTCCAGCCGCATTTACCCGGTTTAAAATACAATTTCACCCAAGGCTTTTCAAAAGGCTGGGTGGTCGACCGGGAAGACTTTGAGTTTCATTAATTTTCTTCCGGACGGTTAATAACCTACAATGGCGTATCGAGTATTTGCCTGAGCGCCTTTTCACAATCGCTTAAAGCCCTTGTGCAAAGGTAAACCTCGACTTGCCCTTTTAGAACGTCTGACTTAAACTGTCCGGGATTCTCTCCCTCTAGTCAAGCCAAATCGTTTTAACTGCCGTGTTAATACGGATGAGGTGTAGGATCGGTCAGACCGGTCCCTTTTTTTTGAGATGCCAATTCGATTGGACATCTAACCGGGTAGATCGGTATGTCGACCAATTACCGGTTGATGTATGAGGACAATCTTTCTGAAAAGAACAAAGTTTTATTAACACCTAGGGAACTCATTACACTTTATCTAAAGAATTTACGTAAGTGATGAGAGTTCCAATGTCGGTCAACCCAGCCACCTTCCATAGTCTCTAGTTGGTAAGTGCCCGGCCGGATGATCGCCTTTATGCGATAGGGTCCTTCCCAATTTCGCACCAACTTGCCTCTCTCGTTAGGTTTACTAGCATCCCGTCTGCGCAAGACCTCATCATGCACTTGGAAGTACCGTGGGCCCACCCGGTTGTCGTGATATCTCTTTACCGACTGCTGGTAACCGGCCATCTTGACAGCTGCTAGGGTCCTTCGTTCTTCCACCAAATTTAACTCAGCTAGGTGGTCGACCTCGTTCTGACCGGGCTGGTACACGGTTTCTCTAAATGTTGGAATTTCTGCTTCAACTGGCAACCGGGCTTCACATCCGTAAGTGAGCACAAATGGAGTTTCTCCGGTTGCCCTTCTTGAAGTCACTCTATGCGCCCAGACCGTGTGAGGCAAAGCTTCCAACCATTTATGTCCTTCTTCACACAACCTCTTCTTTAGGCCGTCCACTATCGTCCGGTTAGCATTTTCAACTTGGCCATTTCCCTGTGGATAAGCTACTGAGGCCTTGCTGTGCTTGATTCCAAAACTAGCCAAGTACTCAGTGAACCGGGGGTTACGAAACTGCGGACCATTGTCGGTAACAATCATCTTCGGGGCACCAAACGGGGTGATAATGTTTTTCCAAACAAATTTCTCACACTGCCACACGGTTATGGTAGCCATTGCCTCGGCCTCGACCCATTTAGTGAAGTAATCAATAGCCACCATCACGAACTTCTTCCCGCCTTGGGCGACCGGGAAGGCGCCAATAATGTCAATCCCAAACCGGGCAAATGGTATGACATTAGACGTTGGTTGGTAGTATGTGGCCGGTCTGCCGGGATGTTTGTAAAAAACCTGGCACGTCCTACATCTCTGGACATACCGCTCACAATCCCCAACAATGGTCGGCCAGTAGTAGCCAAGCAATATTATCCTTTGAGCCAGGGTGCGAGACATTTGATGGGCCGCACAAACTCCCTCATGCACCTCAGCTATTNTTCCCGCCTTGGGCGACCGGGAAGGCTCCAATAATGTCAATCCCAAACCGGGCAAATGGTATGACATTAGACGTTGGTTGGTAGTATGTGGCCGGTCTGCCGGGATGTTTGTAAAAAACCTGGCACGTCCTACATCTCTGGACATACCGCTCACAATCCCCAACAATGGTCGGCCAGTAGTAGCCAAGCAATATTATCCTTTGAGCCAGGGTGCGAGACATTTGATGGGCTGCACAAACTCCCTCATGCACCTCAGCTATTACCCGTTTAGCCTCCGGGTTGGTAAGGCAACGCAGGAGAGGTCCACCAATGGCACGTTTGTACAAGTGACCATCGATTACCTGAAAACGGGGAGCCCGCAGGACCACCTTCCTGGCCCGTTCCTCGTCATCTAGTTTCTGACCGGTCTCCAAATATTCCATGAGATCGTACCTCCAGTCATCATCTGGTCCGATTATCCCGGTTGCCAAATTCTGGCCCGGTTGGATAGCCGCGATTTCAAACCGATCAGTACTTGGTTGATCTAAACTCTCAATTTTAACCAACCTCAACACATGCTCCGGACATGATTGCATTAACTTCGAAAGCATATCAGTGTCTGTGTTTTCCGACCGGGGTATCTTAGTCAAAGTTAGAGCCGAGTGATGAAACCGAGCAGATTGTTCTCCGGGAAGCTTTCCCGGAAAGAATGGTACCGATTGGCAGAGATCTGCCCGGAGGACTTCGAGATGAAATCATCTCAGTCCTTCGGGAATATGCAGATATTTTCGCGTGGAGTGTGGCGGACATGTCGGAAATTAGCCGTTCTGTCATATGCCATCGTTTGGCTGTGATGGAAGGGAGCCGGCCTGTGAAACAGAAGAAGAGGCACTTGGCGAACGTCCGGAGGGACTTTGTGAAAAAAGAAGTGAAAGATTTGTTGGCGGTCGGGCACATAAGAGAAGTACAATACCCGGCCTGGTTGGCTAACGTCGTCCTGGCTCCTAAAGGCGACACCTGGCGCATGTGCGTGGATTACACGGATCTAAACAAAGCATGTCCCACGGATGGCGCCAATTTGATGGTGTAAATTACCACGTAAATACTAAGTATTGAGTAATCGGAAGGGTTGTAGGTGGAAACACCTGTAACCCGATTTGTTATTAATGATAATAGGAGTTATTACAAATACAAGCCGTGTAGGTTAATTAAAGCCTGCCTCCACAAATGAGGCTTTTAGGGGTATTTATAATAATCCTAAGCACGTCAAGCACGTCTCTGATTATCCAATCGGTCAGGCGGCTGACCGGCCCACCAGGTGCACTTTGAAAGTAGATCTTCGGGGATTGGCGTCTGGTCTCCCCATCCAACCGGTCAAATAACCCGGTCTGAGAAAGACGTGTGCTGTTCGGTGAACCAACCGGGTGGTATCCTTGGGTTATTACCCATCAGTACGAATACATGTTATCTATAAGTACGTGCACAATGGATTGTATAGCATTGTCGTCGATGAATCTCAACTATATCCCTCTAAATTCTTTGAATTCCCAGAACTTTGTGCGGTCTGGGGACCTTTGGCGAGGTTGAGCTCGTACTGTGATACTGAATCGTGGCGTACCATTAGAGCTTGAGGTCATGATGTATCGTTAGAGGCCGAAGTGAGGACATGTCATCAGTTAGTCCTAACTTGTAAATTGGGCCTTTTGTTTGAACTCTGAATTTCTGTTAGGCTAAACCCCCCTTGTCTAGGATATCCATCACTTTTAATCTATTAGCTTTATTTATATTAAATCAATTATTATTACTTCCTATGTTTCAAAAAATAATTTCATTTTGACATTTACGAAATTTGAGGGGGGTTATTTTGTGGTTAACTTTTTAATTTTACATGTGGATGCGATGAGTAGAATAATACAAGATAACTAAATTATTGATTAAGGTATGACGTGACATATGGATTAATAATTTGTAGAAGTATAATCAATATTTTAATTGAAAGAGAAAGTGTTTTATGACACAAGTAAAAATTGAAAATATAATTGTTTCAAGAAACAAAGAGAATATAAATGGGTGGGCGTAGTAACATGTGTGTTACATGACAAATAAGAATAATTCTATAAATAATTCTAATTAAAGTTATCCATATTTAGTCCATAATTACCAAATGTTATCTATTCACTCCTTTATAATTGGGTCTCTTCCTCGTTTAGTCCTCCGTCAAAGGTCTATGTTTCTTTAATTAGGTTGAGTTCTATTGAAATTTCATGGTGCACAATACGCTCTCTCATCTGTGCCAACTGATTAGCCTATTTGCAGAGCCTTAATGTTTAATTGCTCAAAGGACTTGAGAGCTATTCGAACTATGGTTGGAAGAAATTGCTATTGGCTATGAGTTGGGCTAATTGCTCAATTGATACTAAATCAGTCCCATAAAAATCTTAAGTGTTTGACTTTCGCGGAGTTGAAAGTAAAACTTTGAATGATGAAAAAAGGTGGTCGAGATTGGTTAAAAAGAGAAAAGTTTTCTACTAAAAAGAAAGACATTTTTTTGAACAAAGTGAGGCTCAAGATTGAAGAGTTGTTATGGGACAAAAAGAGTATAATATTTTGGTGCTCAGACCTTATATTTTAAGGAGTATTTAAAAAACAAGGCATGATCTTAGACGAGAGAAAATTTTGAGACTTAGGAACTTAAGTTTGAAACTAGATATGCTTGAACTGTTACCCAAAAAGATTAGTTCTAAAATCCTTGTGAAATTCTTAATTGGGGAACTGGAAAGTTGTTCCCACCTTGAAGCTAAAAGTATTTGGGAAGCAGGTGCATATGCAGAAGCAATCAAACAACACAATCTTGAAATTACCATACAATCTATATTATATTACCACATTCACTATCTCTGGAGATGTATATGTATGTATGCATGTAATTTGTAAAGAAGATTTTAGGAGATACTACATATAAGTGATTGGTTGAGTCATTTTAAGGATGCATGCTATACCTAGGAATGTGTTTGACATCAAGGTTGTTAAGGCGCCAAGGCGAGGTGGCGATTTACATTCATATCGCCTGGGCAACTAGGCGCACGCTTAGGCGACAATTAGGTGACCTAGGCAATTAGGCGCACGCTTGGGCGACAATATATTATTATTATTATTATTATTCATGTATAATGATAATTTATAATGATTTTTATTATTGTAATTATTATAATTATTATTTTGAGATTGTCTATTTTTTAAATACCTTTCTGATCTGAATTGGTGTGATCTCATCTGATTTGAACTGATCTGAATGAATATGATTTGATCTGAATGGATTTGTTCGATTCGGATCTGATCTGATAAGAATAAGCAATAAACAGAAGAAATAAGTTAAAGAGAACGGTACCTGAGTATAAGATTTTAAAGACTCAATTTTCAGACTTTCTTCAATTGTTGTCCATCCCAATGGTAATAAGAAGAAAAGAGTCTTCAGACTCTGTTTAGACTATCATTGGGGATGCTTAAGCCTTTACTCCTTCCATCCAAGTTAGTTCTTCTCATAACGTGTTACAAGTCTTGAATGACTTTGCTTTTAATTTAATTTATTTGGTTACCGGTATGAAATGCAAAAATAAAATTTATATATTTAAAAACTAGAAACCTTCTCTCTTGGTTTGAGTGGTAGGAAACTCACTCTCCAAAATTAATGGGAATGTTTACCTAGGTTCGTGCCCCATCAGAGGCATTAACGTTGGCTCTTTATGCATCATCAATTTGAGAAAAGCATGAACGTATACCACATTATAATAGAGATGCAAGATGCAGAATAAAAGTAAGAACTAAGGCAACGATGCACACATGACGAACATGTACAACTTAGGATACCCCTTAGTGTACAAGTAGCTTTATTCTAAAACAAATCAAAAGGAGGACTTGTAAAATGACATCATCCCATGTTAAACCATACCTTACACCATTTAATCTCGACCCTCCATTTAGATTAATTTTCATAATTGGTCTTTTATAACATGAGGTTTTCTCTATTTAGTCATCAATTATCAAATATTACTGTTGTGATCCTTATTTTATAAATACTTTTTCATAAATAGTCATTTTTTTGACCTTCTGTCATGTTGGTGTTAATTTGATCAAGTCTAAAAGCATATTTGAAATCAAACTTATCTTCACTGACGTATCATGATGTCGTTCACACCGACCAGTGAACAATATTGACTATGAGTGTATACGAGAATTTTGACAAAAGACTATATCTGTAAACTATAAGTGTAGTAGGAAGTGACTGCAATTCACAAACGACACATCAGAAGCGGCCTCTAGCATTGTATATAACAAGAAAGATATGTCATTATGAAATTACACTTTTAGCCTTTAAATTAGCACCAATATAATAGAAGATTGAAAAAAGACTTTTTATGGAAAGATACTCATAAAAGAATGACCACTAGAGTAATATTTGATAATAGAGGGCTAAATAGGAAAAATACCCCTATGATAAAAGACCAATTATGTAATTACTCCTCCATTTATCACATTAAATCTCATCTTCTATTTCATCTCTGCGTGTCATACAATCGTCGCCTCTAAGATATAAATAGTAAACCATTCACTTCCCCCCATTTTATTTCTCCTTTTTTGCGACCTATTTTCTTGAGTGAGCAAATGGAAAACCAACATGCATGTCAAATTTAGAGGAAGTATTCTAAACATATTGATAAAAAATACTCCGTATATTTTAGAGAGTCTAAAAATATTACTCACTTATTTTACAATGGCTAAAAGTATACTTAAAAACTTTTTAAAAAATAAAACAATAGTGAAGCTCAAAATTAAAGCAACACTTCTAATGTTTTAAGGGTGTGTTTGGTGAGCAAACAAGATATGAGTTTTAATATCTCCAGATATCAAAATTCTTTTTAGGTGTTTGGTGAAACCAAAAAAGATTTCGAATTCGATATCTTCAGATATCAAAAATCCTTCAAATGGAGGGTTTTAATATCTCCTGAATTTGAGAGATATCAATATAAGGGTTTGATATCTCTTTCAACCTGATCATTCTCCGTTACCGACTACCATTGTCACCGTCAATCACCCTCGTTGCAGGTTACCCCACTTATCACCAATTAAATCATAATTTTAAATCTCTCTAAACAAATTTATTTCAGATTTCAAAATCAATATCATTTCTTTCAAATTTCATAACAAGATCTTACCAAATCTGCAAACTCACCAAAGGAGCCCTAAATGATACGAGTACTTTATTCAAGGAGTAAAATCTATAATTAGTCCTTTATAACATGGGAGTTTCTCTATTTAGTCCTCTATTATCAAATATTACCTTAGTGATCCTTCTTTTATGGGTATCTTTCCATAAATAGTCTTTTTTTGATCTTCTATCATGTTCGTGTTAATTTGAGGGCGAAAAGTATAATTTAACAATGATAATATATCTCTTTTGTCGTACACAATTCCAAAGGATGTTTCGTTTGCGTCGTTTGTGAATTAAAGTCGCTTTCTATTACAAACATAGTCTACAAATGTGGTCTTTCGTCGTAATCCTAACCCACAATCATAGTCATTATTTTTATATTATCCGTTTAACCAATATCAAAACACATCACTACACATAATGTTGATGTCAAATTATATTTTTAGCCTTTAAATTAATACCAACATGGCAGAAGATAAAAAAAGACCATTTGTGGAAAGACACCTTTAAAAAAAGGACTACGGGAGTAATATTTGATAG